AGACAGCGCTGTCCTAGGCCTGGACATCGCTGTTCTAGGCTTGCGGTTTGAAAAATGGGAAGCAACGGTCATGCCAACAGCGATGTCTAAAATCCCTACATCGCTGTTTTGGCTGTTGACTTCCAAACAAGGAAAGTTTTAGCCTTAAATTCCTTCCAACGGTCAGGTCTCTACATCGATGTTCTATACTAGAACATCGCTGTTTAGGTCTGCCTTTGGAGATGGAAGTTTGGCCTGACAGCGCTGTTGCTGGGTCAACATCGCTGTCCAAAAACTTTCTGCCAAATGCACTATATTTTTGGCTTAGGTTGGACAGCACTGTAGGGGAGCCTACATCGCTGTTCCAGAAGTTTCTGGAAATCCAACCTTGGCTCAACAGCGATGTCTAACATCCAACATCGCTGTTGGAAGACTTAACGCCAAACCATGGTTTTCAACCACCCAAGCCAGACAGCGCTGTTGGTTTCACCAACATCGCTGTTGGGCTGGTTTAGCCAGACCCATGGTTGGTTTAGTCAGCCGTTAGCCGATGTCAAAAATGTAAGTTCTCCAAAATAAAAACCAAGTATTGAAAATGTTTGTTTAATGCATTTTGCTAAGAAATCAAGTAAAAAATTTTGAAAGCCACGTCATTTAGTTGAAAACCACGGCTAGCCAAGTTTACGCCGTTTTGCATGGTTTTCCCTAAACGACCAAAAACGAAAGGTGGTTTTTGAAGCGTTTTTGTTGGAGAACTATTTAAATGTGCCAGAAGTGAAAACCAGTCATAAAAGGTTGAAAACCACTTGGTTTGTTCGGACGCCAAAAACCAATGCCGAAAACCGAAAGCCGAACGCCGGTTTCTGAAAGCCGAACGCCGGTTGGCTTGGTTTTTGGCTTGGGCGAACTCCAAGTGTTTTGAGCCAAGTTTAAAACTTAAGAAAAATATTTTTGAAAATGTAAAAGAGATTTTTATGAATCGAGCCTAGAGAGCCAAGATTTGGAATTTTGGCCGGTCTTGATCACATTAAGACCGACTCAATACAATTCTAGTTCTTCGTTCTTGATTCTGGGTTCTTGGTTCTCAAGTCATCATGCCATGTTCCTTCGCCTTAGTTTTGCTCACTTTAGCTTCGATATGTCGCGACGGTTTGGCATTATCAAAACCTGTCATAAGGACGAACACAGTTTAGTACGACAGAGGCGTAAACCCGTGTTCCAACAATTTCCCCCTTTTTGATAATGGCAAACAAGACGGGGATATGCATATTAAGGGATAATTGTTTTTCAAATTTTGTGAAAAAAAGTTCCCCCTTAATTTGTGCTTAAAAAAATTGGTTGGATTAAAATCAAACGGTCTCGTTTATAGAGACGTTCCCCCTTAGTATATGCATAGCCTTTTTCTTCCCCCTTTTGACATTAACAAAAAGATAAACGAAATGATTTTATTTAATAAAGGGAAATAGCGGATTACAACGGAAGCATTAAAAAAGAACGGGATAATTAAAGTAAAAGAGATAGAAATTATAGGGGAGTCCTAGTCTTCGTCTTCAGTTTCCTCCTCGTTGTTGTCGACGTCCATCTCATCCCCATCGATGACATCGTCGAACTCGTCTTCATCCGGGGAGCTTGACGGGGCGTAGGAGTCATCGGCTTCGTCTTCGTCACCGTACACTTGCCCAAAGAACGTGCCGTGGTACGGTGGAGGGACGTAGTTGATGCCTTGGAAGTACGAGTTCATCGCGTATCCTTGGCGTTGAACAGCCACGTCGAGCCGTTCAAGGTAGCTCCCCATCCCGTCAACCTTGAGGTGGAGCTGGTTGAGGGAGTCGGCGATGGAGGCGAGGTTGGCCCGGGCCTGGGGTTCGGCTTGGCCAGCGGCAGTGGCAGTGCGGCGTGGCTGGGCAGTGGCAGCCGCGGCGTTGTCCGACCGCTTGAGGAAGGTTTGGTTGCTGATTGTCCAAATCTTCGTGGCCTTCGTGAGCGGACCAACGGTGGTGGTTACCTTGAACCGTTCAAGGATGTCCATCACCAAAAACGGGTACGGGAGGAGGTGGTCGTGCTCG